AATCTACTCCTCAGAGACAAAGGAAGGAAATTAAGAACAAGACCAGCAGAAGACAAAGTAAAGTGCAGGTACAATTATGAAGAAGATCTGCAGAAGGGACATGGAAAAGAGTTAAGAGCCTCGGACATAAGATCACCAGGTTGATGGACTAGATGGAACAGATAGAAAGGACTGACAGAACCCGAGACCAGGAAGAAGAGACGGTGGATGAAGATTGGCAGAAAGTTTAAAAATTCATCTAGAGAAATATTGCAAAATTAACGACTGTTAGGAAAATCTTGGAATGAAACTATTAGGCTTTAGTAGAAAAGTTATAAGGAGTTATGTATAAATAAGTTTTTAAGTTCTAGGGGTTTTTTATGGTAAGATAAGGTTAAAATAAATTAAGACAACTAAAGGACAGAATACAGTGAAATATGGAAAGGATTTGCTGAGATAATTAATAATTAGAATACAAAAAAGGGAGGTGTGAGGAGGTCGAGGAAACAAGTTAATGAAGATAAGGGTATGGGAATATTGGATTTGTTTTTAAATTTATTTTTTTGTTCTTGGTTTTGATTTTGGTGTATTGTATGTTTGGTACTTTTTATTTTCTTTTTATTGATTTGTATTGTTTAATCTCTTTTTTCTGTGCTTTTTCTTCTTCTCTTTTTTCTGTAACTTTAAATTCCCAACAAATATCATTAAAAAAAAAGAAAGAAAGAAATTCCATCTCTGTCTCCAGTCTCCCTGTCCAGTTGAGTGGGGATCTAGAGTGTTTGTTCATGGCATTAGGTAATCAAGACAGATTAGGGTCTTCGCTGGTTTAGTGCCCGCCTCACTGCCCAGCAGTCTCCCTGCCTGATCTGACAGCGCTGGTCTCATAGGTGGTCTTGAGGACTCCAAGGCTGCTAATTTTGGGCAAGGCTTTTTTTCAGCCAGAACTTGCCAGCACTCAGTTCCGGCACCTCTCAAGTAGGTGCCATTGCTATTATTAGAGAACAAGGGATGTGTTCATGGTGAGTTCCAGCACCTCTCTTTCTAGAAAAGTAGCACTGGTTTGGGGGGGTGTCAATGCCCATGCTCAGGACTTCATGGCTGCCATGACAACCATGGGGCTCTCCCAACATATCACCAGCCCAACACATGTGGCAGGCCACACTTTGGATCATGTTTTTCTCAACTGGGCAGGAAGAGGGTGATCTGAAAGTGGGGGATATTGACATCTATCCTTTGTCATGGTCAGATCACTTCCGGTTGAGATATAGGCTTTTCCTCTCTGTAGAGGCTTTTTCTGTCTGTTGACATTTTTAGAGTTTTATATTTTATTAGCTTATTCTCTGCTGTCTTCCACCCTCCATTTTACTCCTATTTGCTTAAAAATGAGTTCTGGAGTGTTTTTATATTTGATTATGGGTGAAAGGGTGAGTGTTTCTTTTGAGATTGAAAATGTAGGGTCTAATTTCGTCCAAACAAAATATTGTGCATTTTCCTCTTGTGCTTTACGAAGGGCTGTGGGAGCCAAGAAGACAACCATTGCTTTTCATCTCTTTAAACTTAATGAGCAGTAGGATTTTAAATGCCACTGAGAAAACTAGTGTGAAATACTGGTTAGACTAAGACTGAGGTGACCCAGCTTCACATTTATAGACACTTGGAAAACATAGCTGACTGGGTCACCAACTCTCAGCCTAATCTTCCTCAGAAGGTTATTCTGAAAATAAAAATGGGCGAAAAAACCATGTACACCAACTAGAGCTCCTGGGTAGAAGGGTGGAATATAGATGTAATATAAAAATTAAGTGGTCATGCAAATAGCACCAAACTTGAGCTCTTTCACTGCTGTTAAAGTCCAATGTGGGAGGAAACTACTTGTAAAGCCAAATGCCAAATCTAGAAATGCAAGATATAAATTATACAGCAAAAGTCCACAACATGCCTATTAATTCTTCTTTTTTTTTTTAGTTAACAAGAGCACATTGGTTTCACCTTTAAACCATTAAAAAGTTGACATGATGCTCACTTGCTGTTTTTCACTTCTGCACTGTGGGCTGGAGGTAGCTTGTCATCCGAGGTGTATTAACTGGCGTGAAAGCAACGAGGGGAATATTTTGACACATGTCAAATCAGAATAATAGCTGTATCTTCCTCAGACAGCAGAAGGAGATGCTTATAAAATTCCAGGGTGCTCTTCATTTCCTTTCACCACCTGGGACAGGTGCAATTATATTACAGGAGATGTCAGTTTTTCCTTATTAACATTTTATTGAATTATTTCCCCTCCCCTTTATACAATATAAATGGACACAACAGTTAATTTGAATCCCCATTCCTTCCATTTTCTGTCTTTATACTTTAATGTGGATGCATAATTCAATTTAAATCCAGTTGTCCTCCCTCTACTTTTAATTTCCCCCGCTGCAGGGGGGAAAAAAGGTTGGTGTGAGCTGCTTCCAACTGTATTCAAAACCTAGTTCACACAGACTTTTATTTATTCCTTCTGTGCCTACCCATGTCTATGGTCCTTCAATATTCCCTGGCACTATCATCTGACCACTTCACAAATTTAGTGGCTGGCTGGAATGCCAGTTGGCGATGTAATCCCACAGCTAGGACGCTGATGGAAAATAAAATGGCTGAATTTCGATGTAAAACAGTGAAACACAAAGTTTCAGAAGTTGAGGAGAATGCTTCCTAGACCTGTACCAAGTTGCTAAGGAACTACCTGTATTTCAAGGTCAGAACGGTTATCGGATGCCTACGAGAAAGAGCAGGCTTGTCGTTCTAAAATGGCTATGTTTCCTTTGAAATCATCCAGAAGATTTGATAAGGGAAGTGAGCCTCTCTGACTGCTAAGCAGTTTGTGAAACATTTTCAGCAACCTATAACACAGCTTACAGAGTGTTTGATAAGAAAAGTTTGGAAGGAAAGATTGCAGCATCAACCTCCACAGTAGATGAAGCAGCTAAAACTGCTAACTCAGCTATGAACGTGGAAGTTAAACACGAAGAACAAATTTTAAAACTTGGATATGCTCAGGAAACTATGTATCTTATATAGTTAACTATGTATGTATATTTCTGTCTGTTTGTGTAAGTTGTTTCGGGTTGCCATGGGAAAGATAAAGCAACTAACAAATTCACTAAATAAAACCACCATAATCATCTCTTCATCTTAAACTAGAATACCAGGACCACATATCACAAAGAGTTAACCTGAGAGTGAGGGGCATGGAAGAGGGAGTAGAAGATAAGGATTTGAAAGTGTTCATTATTAATTGGATCCCTTCCCTTCTTCCTGATTTTGAACTCTCTAAAACTGACCTAAAGCAAGCCCACTGGGAAATAGGTCTCAGGACAGAGATATTGTAATTGTTTTTCACTGTTATGCCCAAAAAGATGAATTGATATGACAACTACAGGGAGTTAAAGGCAAACAAATACAGTGGTACCTTGGTAGTCGAATGGCTTGGCTCCTGAACAAATCAGCTCCCGAATGCCGCAAACCCGGAATTGAGTGTTCCGGTTTGCGAACATTTTTCGGAAGCCGAACGTCCAACACAGCTTCCATGGCTTCTGATTGAGTGCAGGAAACTCCTGCAGCCAATCAGAAGCCACACCTTGTTTTTCGAACGGTTTTAGGAGTCGAACAGACTCCTGGAACAGATTACATTTGTACAAATTTTGCAAGATGTCTCCCTGGGCACACATCAGCGCTGTAGGGAATTAAAACCAGTGGAGGTGTCCAATATAATTTCTAAAAGATGGGGTACAGTAATTATGTATTCACAACTAACAAAGTGCATTATTTTCCTTAACATTTACTTTCAACTTTTCTTTATTTAAGCACCTCCGCTGTGCCTCAAAAAAGCAATGATAAGACAGCACTCAGATGTCTAAACCATACGGCAATACAAAAGCACTTATCTGAACTTTAAGATTTCAAATGATTGCCTTTTCTTTTAAATTCTTAATCTTCCATCTCAAAGGTTAATGAAATTGTAACCAAAATATTTAATGGTACATGCCTATAGCCTTCCTTTTCTCCAGTGTGTTCTCCATTATTTTGAGTTCTAAACTTCCTAGAAAGAGGGACCTAGTTAACTATCAAAAATCATGTTAATCAGACCAAAAATAACATCTACAATTGTCCTTTCCCTCCTAGAATGGCCTCCTTTCTTGACCCCATTAATGCCATCTAGCAAAATAACAATAGTCTGTCCACTTTTAAGCCCTCCAGTGATCGCAACATGATCAAAGTTCTTCTTTGCTACGCAAGCCTTACATTTTTCCAGGAAGGTGTTCAATTCTCAGTTAACATTTAGAGGGACTTAAAAGAGATTTTAAGGGACGCGGGTGGCGCTGTGGGTTAAACCACAGAGCCTAGGACTTGCTGATCAGAAGGTCGGCGATTCGAATCCCCGCGACAGGGTGAGCTCGGTCCCTGCTCCTGCCAACCTAGCAGTTTGAAAGCACGTCAAAGTGCAAGTAGATAAATAGGTACCACTCTGGAAGCTGTACACCGGCTCCCTCGGCCAATAAAGCAAGATGAGCGCCACAACCCCGGAGTCGGCCACGACTGGACCTAATGGTCAGGGGTCCCTTTACCTTTACCTAAAGGAGATTTTAAGTAGCCTGATCACTATACCAAACACCATAAGTAATCACAAAGCAACAATAAACTTGTTTTGGGAAGTTTCGAATGTTTGAAGTTTTATTCTGTTTTTCGTGTTCTGTTGGGAGCCGCACAGAGTGGTTGGGGAAGCCCAGCCAGATGGGAGGGGTATAAATATTATTTTTGTTGTTGTTAAAGCTGCAGTGCTAAGTGCCCTTCGTTGAAAATCCAACTGTTGTGAATTTGCTTAACTTTATTATTTCAACTCTAGATTTTAAAAACCTACATAAAACACCCCACAAAATATACCGCTAAAAGCGGGGGGCGGGGTGTCTGACCAAGAAAGAAAAAAACTTTCAAACACTGCAGCGACCGGACCAGCGCGGCTCCTTCCATCTCACTAAGTCCCCAACCCACACGCGTGTGTGTCATGTATGATCTAGCTGAAATTCCTGCAGGAGGTTTGGACTACATGACCCACGAAATCCTCTTCCAATCTAGCAATGCTATGACGCTAATATTTCAGCCCCTCGCAGCCTTATATACGGCTTCCAAATTCCCCGCCCCCTCCCCCAAAAAAGAGCATCGCGAGAGAGCTGCGAAGATCCCGCCCATTGAAGGGGAGGGAACAAGGAAACAATTTTTTCCTCCTGTCCACGCCTCCAAGCGGATTCTCGTGAGGACAAGAGGGAGTTTCTCTCCTCCCCCGCAAACTTGTTCCAAATGGAACTTTAATGCACATCCTTCCGGATTCTAATTGGACGCAGTTCTAATTGCTGCGCAGCGCGCGCCACGGAAGCGTTTGCTGCACGCCAGAGGGAGAAGGGAAGAGAAGGCGTCTCCATTCTCCCAACATTTACGCACCGTTACGCATCGCGCATGGCGGAATTGGCGCTGAATCCGGAAGGGTGCCGCGTCGACTGACTTCAAGCGGAGAGGCGGGCGGCTGTTTTCCGCCCTTCCTTCCTTCCTGCCCCTCTCCCGGACCATGGAGCTTCCGAGGCACGTTGGAGTCTCCAGGATCCTGACGGTAATTCCTCTAGCCGTGCCAGAGACGCCCGCGCCCTCTGTGTGCGTCTTTTCTTTTTCTTTTCCCCCTCCCCATTTTGGTCGGGGTGGTAGCATGGCGTTATTGCACCCTGGGGAAAAAGGGAGAGGCATCAGAGCAGGAAAAGCAGGCCGGGGTCTCTTCTCCTTTGCTTTCTCTTTCTCTTGCCGCGTTTGTTTTCTGGCGGAACAAACTGCTTGCAATGGAAAAGGCGCGTCCGTCTTTGCAGCAAGATATTTCTCTGCCTTCCAACCTGCTGGCGTGCTTGGGGATTTATTGCGCGCCTCCCGCAGCTCCAACATAGCCTCCGTTAGAGAAAAATGATCCATGTAACTTTTCCAAAAGCATGCTTATGTTTAGAATAGGAGTTGCAGCTACAAAACCAGTAGTGGTTGTTTCTCTTGGTTATTTACTAAAAGAAATAATGTTCAGTGTTTCTCAAACTTGAGTCCCCCAGCTGTTGTTCGACTGCAGCTCCCATCATGCCTGGCCACAGGCCCTGCTAGCTAAGGATGATGGGAACTGTAGTCCAACAATAGCTGTCATTTGAGCTGCTGCTCCTAACCAAATACAGTCATACTTCATGTTACGTTTTTTCAGGTTGCGTCCCGTGGCGACCCGGAAGTACCGGAAAGGGTTACTTCCGGGTTTCACTGCTCACGCATGCGAAGAACCGTTAAATCGCACTTCGCGCATGCACACAAGCACCAAATCGCGCTGCACAGATACGGCGCTTCAGGTTGCGGGCTTTTCATGTTGCGAATGGGCCTCTGGAACGGATCCCATTCGCAAACAGAGGTACCACTGTAACATTTCTTGCAGATCGGTTTGAGTCCCCTTCTCATTTACAGGCATACACGGTTTCTTGTTAAATATATTCTCAAAAGAGATTGTTGCACCTTTGCTGAAGTTCATCAGTTTATGAGGGGCAATGTAGGTTTTCCATCCCCCTGAAAGGGTGATTGATCTGTTGTCTGCATTTGATGACAGAATTTTAATAGATTTTTTTTCTGATTTGCTCATAGGACACAGACTGGACTGAACCATGGATCCTAGGTCTTGTATTTTTCCACATAGCTTACGTCTTCCTTACTTACCTCTCATTCCAGCACTACCGCCTGCAAATAGGACACTTCCTTTCGATCAGTGAGTATTGAATGAAGTATTTTTTATGATATTGTTGCTCTGAAGTTAGCATCTGGGTATGTTTTAAAGGAATTAATGCAGTCATTTTCATTCTCTGCCTATCTCTGTAACCTTACTAAATTGTATAGTATGCATTTCTGCACAATGTACGTTAGTGTTGATCACTTTCAAATTGGGATATGACATATTGGAGTATCTATTCCAACGTGCACAAAGTATTAGAGAAACTTTCTAAAGGCATGTTTTTCATTAGCATTAGGTCCTTTCTTCTCGTACCCTTTACTGTTAGCATGCTGAGAAAATGACCCCGCTTTAGTGTAAGATTCTAGAATTTTAAAGTTTACATTCATAGCTTTGCATCCCTGTATTTTTGTTGAATCTTCATTTTATTATAATTGAAAGTTTATGGTTGTAAGCGCTCACTTTTTGCTGTGGCAATAGATATAAATGCCTATATAAACAGAAAATTTAGATATTGAAGTTTACCCTAGCTGGCCCATGGTCAGGTGTGATGGGACTTGAAGTCTAGCAATACCTGGAGTGCCACAGGTTCCTCATCCATCCCTTACCTGGGCACGCTAGTTAAATTTGGAATTGACTATGGAAACTTGTGCATGGAAGCCTATAGGCTCTTCAGTCTTGCAGATTACATTTAGGAAAGATGTTCTCTTCGTGGTTTCATATATCACATGCATTCCCACACTTAGATTCTTTAAAGCTTCAGAATTCTAATTTGTCTTCTTGGTTGTAGTGACCCTGGTATTCTGTGCAGAATATATCAATGAAATTGCGGCTGCAAACTGGAGGTAATTACATGAACTTTCTGCACCTATGTTTACTTTAAATACCTTTTATCATGCCGAAATTGTTATCATCTTCCGTTTCCCACAGGTTAATCAGGAAGTTTTTTATGTCTGATGTTTTTCTATGTTTTATATATGCTGTAAGCCACCCAGAGTGGCTGGGGAAACCTAGCCAGATGGGCAGGATATAAATGATAAAATTATTATTATTACTACTTACTACTACTACTACTACTACTACTAAGCGACGCGGGTGGCGCTGTGGGTTAAACCACAGAGCCTAGGACTTGCTGATCAGAAGGTCAGCGGTTCGAATCCCCGCGATGGGGTGAGCTCCCGTTGCTCGGTCCATGCTCCTGCCAACCTAGCAGTTCGAAAGCACGCCAAAGTGCAAGTAGATAAATAGGTACCGCTCCGGCGGGAAGGTAAACGGCGTTTCCGTGCGCTGCTCTGGTTCGCCAGAAGCAGCTTAGTCATGCTGGCCACATGACCCAGAAGCTGGACGCCTGCTGCCTTGGCCAATAAAGCGAGGTGAGCACCGCAACCCCAGAGTTGGTCACAACTGGACCTATTGTTCAGGGGTCCCTTTACCTTTACTACTACTACTGTTGAGATATTTTGAATTTGCCCTCCAAATGTGTTGGACTACATCTCCGACCAGGCCCAGTCAACTGAGGCAGGTGGGAGCTGTAGTTGGAGGGCACTAGATTGGCAAAGGCGCCCCCCGCCCCCAGGTTAAATTCTTAGCAGCCCTCTTCCAAGAATATATGCATAGGATTGCTGGCTAAGAATCCCATTAATGGGAGAGTCTGAGTCATGCCTAGCTCACTGCCATTCAAATCAGTGGGACATCTGAGTGCTTATGCCTTTACATTTAGCACCCTATACATTTTCTTACGCCAAACAGAAGTCATCTAGATGATGTTACAAAATGTTAACAGCTTACACATATAGCCCCCCTTTTTTAAAAGCAAGTTTTGTGGCATAGGCAGAAGCAGTAGAAAAAAAGGTAAACTAGACACCTCCAATTATTATGTTCATTGCAGTGGTTTACATAACTGCACCTCCTGATAGAAAATGCCAACACTGAATAGCAGGCATGTCGCAAATATGCTTCCAGATATACATTAACTATCATGGCTGAGTCAAGTCAAACTCTGGGGCAGCAACATGCGAGTGGCAAGAATCTGGTGTCCTTTATTTACTTTGGAAATAAAGATTTCACACCTTGGGTATCTAAAATGAAGCTCTAGAAGCAGTTGGGTCTCCAGCTGTTTTTGGACTACAATTCCCATCATCCCTGACCACTGGTCTTGCTAGCTAGGGATGATGGGAGTTGTAGTCCAAAAAATAGCTGGATACCCAAGTTTGAGAAACACTGAGTGTTCAAGGTGAATGTCTTAAAAGGGGAGGGGAGGAGGTTTGTTGACAAAATGGCTCCTGAAGGTTCTCTTCAACACTGCAGGAACTCGCATTTCACCTTTGCTTATTGAGAAGTTGTGGGCAGCGAAGCAGGCTGGGAGACGACTTAAGTGTAGATGGTGGAAAACTGGCCTGAGGCTAGCTGAACGTTTGCTGCCTACCAAGTGCTGGTGAAAGGCAGAGGAGCAGAATTTCTTGCCACCATTGTGTCCTCAGCGAGCCAGTGGGAGAGCAAAAGTGCCATTCTTTTGTTTCTCGGTAACCGTTAATTTGTATTTGCAGCGACTATACTAGATCATCCGTATGAAGTAATCACGTGTGTAGAATTGTGTCGGTTTTTACTAACATCTGTTTTATTTTCCTTTGCAGATTGTTCTCGAAGCACCAGTACTTTGATTCAAGAGGAATGTTCATTTCCATAGTTTTCTCAGCACCGTTGCTGCTGAATGCTATCGTTATTGTGGTAAGAGCTGCTTCTTTTTCTTTCTTTCTTTCTTTCTTTTGCCTTACAAATGTGTGTGCTCAGATGTACAAGTGGGGCCTGCAACAGAATGCTGCTGTGTGGAATACTTGGGTCCAGGGAGCCAGCTTTTTCAGGACAGATTATTATCTCTTTCCCTCCCCAGCCCCACCTCAGTCGAAGCATTCCATGCCCACGGAGCATGCTCAGTCCTCACAGGGCTGATTTGTGGGTCCTCACTGCTAAGTTGTGGGTGAGCATATCAGACGACACAGCGATTCTTCAAACAGCTCTTGTTTATTCACAGGCCAGAACAGAACAGAACTGAAGGGTTCAGCCAGCCTGCTTATATAGAGCTCCACTAGAACGCAACAGTAACCATTTTCTGTAACTATCCAATCACTGAACGTCACTTTCGATCCCTTATTTGCATATGTGGACCTGAACTATCTACAGTATTCCCCTGCTGGCCCAGGGTGAGAACTTCAGTACATAACACTCACTTCCACTTAAGGGTTTTTTTCTTAAGTTTTTTTTTAAACAACAACAACTGGAACCTTCTGGGGTTCCCCAAACATCTCAGTTGCTTATGGATGGTGCTGTAAGAATCCACAGTCAGCCCTGAACTTTGGAGTATGTTCCTGATATGACCAGTAGGTTGCTCTGGCTCCCACAAGTTCCAATGTTTTTGGAAGCCCACTGCACAAGACCTTGGAGCATGGCCTTCAGTGTGGGTGCCCGTTCTGTGGAATAGCATTTCTGTCAATATATGACAGGCATCCACTACCTGCACCTTCTGGAAACAAATGAAGACATTTTTGTTCCAAAAAAGCCTTTCCAGTTGGATGAATGGGCCTCTGCCATGGTTGTCTGTTTCTGATTAAAATACATATGTATTGGGGAGGGGTGTTAACTGTTGTTTGCTATTTTTATTGTACAGTGGTACCTCGGGTTAAGTACTTAATTTGTTCTGGAGGTCCTTTCTTAACCTGAAACTGTTCTTAACCTGAAGACCACTTTAGCTAATGGGGCCTCCTGCTGCCACTGCGCCACCGCTGCACGATTTCTGTTCTCATCCTGAAGCAAAGTTCTTAACCCGAGGTAATATTTCTGGGTTAGCGGAGTCTGTAACCTGAAGCTTATGTAACCCGAGGTACCACTGTACATCACCTTGTAACTCTTAGAAATAGAAGGCTATTAACACATCAGTAATAATAACAACAACAAAAATAAGTGATAAATAATAAGAAATTATTATTTTTATTTCAGGGTGCTTTTAATGTGTGATGTTCTGTTGTGTTGTTGTATACCCTGTTGGAAGGCAGCCAGAGTGTCTGGGGCAACCCAGTCAGATGGGCAGGTTACAAAAATTAAATGATGATGATGATCCTATGAAGTAAAACATTGTTCCTGCTCAAGACTGCCAGCTGGGCATGTTTATTTTGTCGCTCTTCCTTATTTTTCCAGATTCCCTTTCCAGCAGAGAGTAAGCATTCATTGCCCATTGAACACCCATTGGAGTGCTTGGATTTTCGCCACCCCTTAGACCTTCTGAAAGGTTTGGGGGGGAATATTTTTTTTTACAGATTTCAGGGGTCCCCCCTCAAGTGACATCTTACCTCCCTCTTGTACCTGAGTGGTGCCATTTTGTCTACAGAAGGACCAGCCCTTGAAGAATAGTTGCCTGTTGTATACAAAAGGACCGCTACTTCACTCACCTACATAATTATTTGTTTTGCTTTTCAGATTGCTTGGGTTTATAAAACAGTGAATGTAATGACAGAACTGAAGACGGCGCAGCTAAAAAGGAAAGCAAGAAGAGAAAATAAGAAAAGTCAATAAATAATGGTTTCTCCTGTAAATGTATGTGGGATGCCATCATTCTTAACAATGTGAGGTTGAAAGATTTGAGCTTTTGTGCCCTTTTCTTTCACAAGTTGTACAGTGGTTTTTGTGTGTGTGTGTTTTTTTGGGGGGGGGTTCTTTCTCTTAAACGATTCTTTTAACTTAAATTGTTGTCCGCTGTGAATTATATCCCAATACTGTGTGAGTGGAGCAGGACTTCACCTTCCTTCCTTTTATCTTGCAGCCCTCTGTGTTACCCCCAAATCTGCTCTGAAGGTTCCCCAACCTTCAGGTGTGTGTGTGAGAGAGAGACACAGCTGTGGAGATGGTTGCTGCCCTAGGCCAGGCATGTGCAGCTCTCTAGAGGCTGTGATCTACCCATTACCATTGCCAAGAATTGTTGAGCTTTTTTTGGGGGGGGGGGTGCCCTGAGTTGTCCGGCTATTTTGGGGGGAGAATTATATAAAAAGGCTCACACAGTAGTATGCCATCAGCCCTCCATAAAACACTCAGCCAACGACGCAGTGAATACAGTGGTACCTCGGGTTACATACGCTTCAGGTTACAGACTCCGCTAACCCAGAAATAGTGCTTCAGGTTAAGAACTTTGATGCAGGATGAGAACAGAAATCGGGCTCTGGCGGCGCGGCAGCAGCAGGAGGCCCCATTAGCTAAAGTGGTCTTCAGGTTAAGAACAGTTTCAGATTAAGAACGGACCTCTGGAACAAATTAAGTACTTAACCTGAGGTACCACTGTACAAGCTTTCGCGACAGCAGCCGCAATGAAACATAGTGCAGGGGGCGGAGTGATCTATCAGGAACACACAGGCGATCACTGATTTTAATTCCGCAATTGACCTGGAGCACCCCAAAGATCTACCTGTCGATCGGGGTCGACCGGTTGAACATGTCTGTCCTAGGCAAACGACCTTGTTATGAGCCTGTAGTAAATCATTTCATACAATGAATTTAATTGTATACAGTTGTACCTCGGTTTATGAACTTAATCAGCTCCAGAAGTCCGTTCTTAAACCGAAAGCGTTCTTAAACCGAGGCGTGCTTTCCCTAATGAGGCCTCCCACCACCGGTGCTCTTCCACCATTCGGATTCCATTGTTCGACCAAGGTAGAGTTCGCAAACCAGGACACTACTTCCGGTTTTGCGGAGTTGGTAAACCGAATTGTTCGTAAACAGGACTGTTCTTAAACCGAGGTACCACTGTACTGTGTATAAATTAAAAAGTACTTTTATACGGTAGTTACTGAGCTACTAATCCTGCATCAAAGTGAACATTGTGTAGCAGGTGTGCCAAAATGCTAATCAGATGTAAAATACCTTTAATTTTTTAAAAAGAAAAACCATCAATTTTAACCTTTCCATTTTCCACCCGTTGAAAATCAGCCTATTGGGTATGCAGTGCCCGTTCTCAAAATTGACTAGCTCCATAATTTGTCATCCCTAACAACTGGGTGTCCCCCCCCCCCCGGCAACTATTCTGCCACTTGAAGCTCGCAAATGATACCCCAGTGCAATGTTTTGTTTTGTAAAGCAACCGTGATTGTGAATCCCAGCATACTTTCTTGGCTATCAGTTCCTTGGACTTAAACTGAACATTATTTTAAAATATTTGTACATCTGAGTTGTAAATTAATACTGTATATTGCTGTATATGCCATGAAATGTAAGTTTACTGTTTTTACATTAAACTTTTTATTTTATTTTAGGTGTTCATTGAGTTGTTTATTTGTTATAAAAAGGAGCTATTAAGACACTTGTAAATACATCTAGGCTGCAATTCTGTATGCTCTTATGTGAGAGTACACCCTGCTGGTTTCGGTTACCTGTGAGTAGACATGTACAGGAATGCAGTGTAAAGTTGAAATCCTCTGCAATTTTCCAAGGGATGGGTTTCACTGAACCAAAGTTGCTGAAATCCAACAATGTCTGACCAGTAGTAGACAGATTTCACCCTCCTCCTGCAGCTCCCCGCATACCCCCAACACCAGTTTTGGGAAATTGTTGGACTTTCCAGAGCAGAAAGGGGTGGCTGCAGAAGCAGAAGAAGGAAAAGTCTCATTGTGTGGTGCTGATGGTGATATATTGATTTATATCCCACCATTTTCCCTGAGAGGACTCAAGACAAATCGCTAAAAAATAGGGGGGGGGGGAATTGTTTAAAACATTAAAAGAATTAAAATTATATACATATATAAGAACTGTTAAATACATATAAATCATTACATTAAAAGCAGCACCGGGCTGGCCCTTTCATTAAAAGCAGTCAATAGAAAGTCTGTGCAACACTGGATGTTGCCCAATGAAACTTAACTTCATTTATTTAAAATATTTTAATAGCACTTTTCATTTAAAAAGCGCAATGTGAAAATTGCAATAAGCTTAACACCTTCAGTATAATCAGAAAAAATAGTAAATCTGTGGCAAATAGATGAAGAACATTGGTATTTATTGCCAGCAAAGGTTTGGGGTAAATAAAGCAGTGTTCAGGTGTGCAAAATGCCATTTATGCACCATCAGTGTGGGCGCATCTGCCACAATTTTGGCAGTAAATTGAAGGGAAAGGCCATTGGATGCAGTCAAAGGCAGTCATCCAATCATTTGGTCACCTGTGCATGGATGGTATTGGCAAGGCTGTTCAGGAATGGTCGTCGTTTGCGAATCAGGTAAAGCTGGCAAAAATATTGCTTCCAAGAGAAACATGCATAGGATTGTTCTGTTTGTCAACCTACCCACCCAATTCCATGCAAATGAAGTGGTACAGGCAGAGATGGGCAGGGACCCTTTTGACCAAACCCAACAACCACCCCTTGGAATCTGGTGCAAAAGGGAATTTTTTCAATTAGCAGCTCCAGCTCTTAAAAAGGTAAATGACACTCACTGTTAATACTTTGCATGTGTAATACCAAAAGCATCTTGAAGGCAGTTTTACCTGGTGGGATCATTTCCTCGTGACATTAAAACTGAGGGAACCTGAGAAATATTTAGAAGCCTAAATAGTGTCAGCTCGTGGAGCGGATTAAAAAAAATACCTTCGTTCAGAGCATGTAATGTTTAATATATCAAGCTGTGCTTTAAGCCATGTAAGAAATTAAACTGCTGTCATATCAATATAGCTTATGATATAGTTAATATCATAGCAATTGAAATGTTCCTTTGTGATAGTAGAGGTTTCTTTAGCAGTTTGCTATAAGTGAGCCAAATATTACGGAAAATGTTTAAAAACTGATAGTAAAATAGCTTTGACCTGCTCTTTCCTCCCTCCCTCTCTCCCATATACATACATAAACACAATTCATGTACTGCTTTAAAAACAAGAAGTAGGACAATTTATTTTCATGGTGTGTTTTTTTCTAAAGGTGTGATTCCTTTCAGGGATTACTGTCAAGGTACGCTATTATGCTCATAACAGGACTAGATTTATGAAGTGGTGGAATGATTTATGAAGTGATAAGACCAACAAAACTATGCTGACAAACCTAGATTGATTGCACCATAAACCTGGAAAAAAATACCTGGTTTGTTGTTAAAATAACTTTCCCCGCAGGAAGGGGGGGGGAGTAAGCTTTGTGCATACTTAAGCGTCCCTTCTTGTAACAGTTTTTACTGCTGTTTGGGACGAAAGTGTTCCCTCCTTAATTCTTCGATGTACCTGAGAAAAAAGGTAAATTTTAGGCCATTTCTGTATCTAATAATTTTGAACAAAATGGCCTGAAACCAGAACTACCATTCTGCAAGCCGAACAGCCCTGTCCTGTTCCTATTTGTAGAACCTAAGATAAAAGGCAAAATGTACAGGCATTTTTGCGAATGAGACAAACTAGCCTGCGTCCCTCCTTTGGTGTTTTATCTTTGGCCCACTACCAGCCGTGGGAAAGTTCCTGGGGACACCTATGAACACTACACAGTATTTGTGCGTAGATGGAACGCCTTCATGCAAAGGGGCCTCCTAACAGCTGAGATCCCACTGCATGTAGAGGATGCGGATGGCACTGTGGTCTAAACCACTGAGCCTCTTGGGCTTGCCGATCAGAAGGTCGGCGGTTCGAATCCCGGCAACGGGGTGAGCTCCCGTTGCTTGGTCCCAGCTCCTGCCAACCTAGCAGTTCGAAAGCACGTCAAAGTGCAAGTAGATAAATAGGTACTGGTGTGGCAGGAAGGTAAATGGCATTTCCGTGTGCTATGGTTTCCATCACAGTGTTCCGTTGTGCCAGAAACGGTTTAGTCATGCTGGCCACATGACCCGGAAAGCTGTCTGTGGACAAACGCCGGCTCCCTCAGCCTGAAGCGAGATAAGCACCACACCGCATAATCGCCTTTGACTGGAATTAACCTTCCAGCAGTCCTTTACCTTACCTGTATGTAGAGGACCTCTATGCATGTACATTGGTGAGCACAAGGGATTTGCATTGGTTAGTTTAGGGATTTAAGTCTCTAACCTATGTCACAGGGTTGAGAGGGAAAAGGAAGACCCAAAGGGCTATACGCTCTGTGCACTGTTGAATACTACAGAAAACATCCCACTTTACTTTTCTTTTACATCTGTTACCATGTGTTCTGAGACCAAGTGCAGCATAACGGCTTGAAAGCCCAAGTGAAGAGTAAACACAAATTACCATATACAAATGTTTCCATTTCTTGCTGGTTACCACTCATTTAGGCCTGAGTCATAAAGAGAAATGAGCATTTGTGAGCAAGATTAGAATCATCGTTATAGTATAATTTGCCAAACGAACCACTAGGTGCTGCTGTGTCACAAATTTTCTTAAAAAACGGGCTTTCCTGTTTTCCCCTCTTACCGCCTTTACCAGAAGATTTCCATGTTTAAACACTTACATGCAATCACATGGAAATATAAATTAATGTATCTTTTGAGTATTTAGATTATTAACCTCCTTTCTAAGATAGGAGGAGGTGTCTGAGGGAACAAAAGTAGAAGTTTCATCAGGTTATCATTAATTCTTGGGTCTGATTATTGGCCTTCCACATAATCGGTAATGAGATAAACAATAATTAATTAATTGTTTTCTCAGTCCTACTCCACCATCTAGTGACTGAACCTCTAATACCATCTGCGCACGTCAGGAGCAGGGCCCAAAGCACTGGAGACAATCTAGGCATCATCTGCACTATATATTTAGAGCAGTATCATAGCACTTTAAGCAGCCATAGCTCCTCCCAAAGAATCCTGGGAATTGTAGTTTGTTAAGGGGCTGAGAGTTGTGAGGAGATCCCTGTTCTCTTCAGAGAGCTACACTTCCCAGAGTTCCCTCTGAGAGTACTGCTCAGAGTTGTAGTAGTATTTGGGGGGGGGTAAGAGTATGCAGTATTGGGGAGGAGAATACTACTGACTTACTTTGTTGTAATGCACATCTGGGCAACCCATGGGCAACAAGTAGCCACCTGGGTCTCTCCTGGGTCCCCCTTTTCCCCTGACACCAAATATTTAGAGAATAACTATCAGTCGACTTTCCTGCTCTTGCCTCCATAAGTCCACTCCACCTTTATCACACTAAACCTAAACAGGTTGCATATACTTCCCATTATAATCAATGGGTATTAAGTCATGGCAAACTTTTCACATTTATTTCAATGGGATGCAAGTTCAACCAACTTAGTCTAAATCAGGCATAGGCAAACTTGGCCCTCAAGATGTTTTGAGACTACATCTCCCATCATCCCTGACCACTGGGTCCTGTTAGCTAGGGATGATGGGAGTTGTAGTCCCAAAACATCTGGCGGGCCAAATTTGCCTATGCCTGGTCTAAATCAAACCCAGTGCCCTTTTTTGATAGAATGAGGAGTTAGCCATTCCCAGTAGTCCATTTCATACCAGATGCAGACCTCTATGACTCTCCATTTTATTTGTCACTTACCCTGATGAAATGTTCCGGGCAACTTGCAACATTACTCACTGTCTTTGTTGTGACATTTTGGTTGGCCTAATAAAGTTATTGCCCTAATACAGATTTTTGGAATTCATGAGAGAGCTAGAGTGACAATCAGAAGCAGGAAGGTCACAAGCTGTGGTATCTGCTTCCTCAAGCTGTTATGGGAAATGAACACTTTAAAAAAACAAAAACAAAAAAACTACACTACACTACACTGTGAGAATAAAACCCAACGAGGAAACAGCCTATGAAGGCAACAGAAAGGCAAGCATGCCACCTCGTGGCCAAAGCTGCAGTTGTAATATAGCATAAATAAAGTATACTATTCTTAGTATCAAATTGTAAATTTCAACAGAAGTAACTCATAAAATTCAACAAACGAACAAAGCAGAAGACCCAGTGGATCTGATCATTCTATAGTCAGTTCATGCATACGGTCCATCCATGTAATGCTGTCTATTCCACCTATCTGTTCATAAAGTCCAAACCATCGTTATTCGTTTGTTGAATTTTATGAGTTACTTCAGTTGAAATTTACAATTTGATACTATGAATAGTATACCTTATTTATCTAAGAACACAGCCGGTTACGTCTCATGTGTTTATTGAGTATGCTTTCCGTGACCATAGGTTTGTTTGTTGTTATTTTGTTGTAATACAGCAGGCAGAAATTTGAATATGAGGAAAATGAGAAAATTTTTTAATAAGTTGGAGCTCCGCCCTTCAACAAGACACAGTAGCCCACTTAAATAGAAAAGCAAAAAGCAAGCTACACATGAATTAAGATGTAGTATAGTAACTGGTAACTGATGAACAA